GGCTGGTGGGTTTGAACCACCAGCCTTCTGGTTAGCAGTCAAGTGCTTTTAGCCACTATGCTACCATACTTCCTGTTAATCTGTGAACATTTTCCTGGCATAAAATATTCCAGGATTACTTGCTCCTAACCGGGACAAGTGATCATTTCTCCAAGGAGCCCTCTAATGGAAAATGGTGTTTAGAGACTTCAATCTAAGCACTAGGGTGTTCATTGTTACCATTGCCTCTAGGCCTTATCAGTGAACACAGCTAGGAAATATATATATATTTTAGATATAAGAAATGTTGATTTTATATATGTATTATTTTATTTTAACATAATTACTAATTTGTTTTATCCTATTGTTGTTATTGTGCCGTTGAGTCGGACCTGACTCATAGCGACCCCTCCTTGGGTTGCCGAGGCAGTATCACTATGGAAGTAGATTGCTCAACCTTCCTTCCAAGGAGGGGCTGGTGGGTTTGAACTGCCAGCCTTCTGGTTAGCAGTCAAGTGCCTTGGGCCCTATGCCACCAGAGCTCCTTTTATGCTATTACATATACATAACCATTTCAAAATAATAATACCAACATTATTACTAAAAACAAATCCATTGATATAGTTAAAAATTATCTTTTGGGCCTTAGAATTTATCATACAAGGAATGTACAGTAAAAATACTGCATTGTAAATTCACTTGAGACAATTCTCCTTTATGTGGTTGTGTCACCAACTCACACAGTTGGATTCATTTGTTTTGTAATTTGTGTTTGCTTTGTTTTTCTTTTTTTCAATGTGTAAAACATTTAAATGGTTCCAAAGTCTAAACTCTAAAACATGATACATTTAAAGGGATCTAATGTTTATCTTTTTTTCCCCTCATGTTTTCTCCCTTTCCATATGGGTAACTATTTAAAAGAATTTTAGCATATCTTTCCATTGTTTCCTTTTAACATTATAAGCAAATATATATATTTTTTAATTCACTCTTTCTCCAACATATCATACTATCACTCTTGTACTCCTGGAGATTACTATATACAAGTCAATCTAGATGTTTATCATTATTTTTAACAAATGCATAGTATTCCATTGTAGCTGGATGTATCATAATTTACTCAATAACTATAGGTATTGGGTCATTTCCAGTTTTGTTGTAAAAACTATAAATGGTGCTGTAGTGATTAACATGTGCCTATCCATGAAGATGGGGCAGGACCACGCAATGAACATTTTATATTTTTTATATTTATTTTATTTGTTTTTGAAGGTTGCTATAACAGTAACTAACAACAACATCAATTTTATATTTTTTGTGAATATATTTATACTGAATATTTCTATATTAATTTTAGAAATTATCTCTTGACTTATGCTGTTGTTGTTGTTGTTTTTATGTGCCATCGAGTCAGACCCGACTCATAGCAACCCTTCCTTGGGTTTCCAAGGCAGTATCACTATGGAAGTAGATTGCCCCATCTTCCTTCCGAGGAGTGGCTGGTGGGTTTGAACCGCCAGCCTTCTGGTTAGCAGTCAAGTGCCTTAGGCACCATGTTACCAGAGCTCCCCTTGATTTATAGTATAACAGATTATGAATCAGCTATCTCAAACAAATCCTCTATGTATTTTCCCTTATCCTCTGATATTGATATATTATTTATAGTTCCTCACAAGTTATCTAATCTACTAGAAATTTCTTTCTTTTTACCTCAACTATTGGTGAGACTTTGTTTTATAAAATGAGGATAGTGTTTTCTTTACCATTTCTTTTACTGTTCTTACCCTCTTTCACTCCATGATTTCTTTCATTTAGGCTTTCACATTATCCTTAAGTGATGTTCTAGGATCATAACTCAGTCTTTATGATAATATCCAACTCCCTGTTAAAATTTCACTTAACGGTTGGAACACTCACTGATGATCCTTGTCTGATTTAAAAAAAAAAAAAAAATCTAAAAAAAAGTTTTTTTATTAGGAATTGAAAAAGCTGATTTTTAAAATTCTACCATTCCTTCTACGTTTGTTAGGTCACATTTTTCTGTGAAGAATTTATCCTCATCAACTGGGGTTGTTTTGTTAGCTGATTTTCTAAGCTAAATTTTCTGTGTTCTTAAAACAGTTCCTTCATACATCATTTGAATATCTCTTGGAATTTGCTCTTTTGAACATGCTCTTGTTGTCTCTCTTATGATTCTATAGCTTCTTGTTTCTGCTTGAGCCTTTTTTTCCTGAGGCTTCATGCTATTCTTGTGTTTTATTTCAAAAGAAGGGAAGTAAATGCCTTCCCGTTAAATTTCACATGAGAAGTTAATGTGTATGTTGGCAAATTTAGGATAAGGATGAAGCTATGCAGGCCAAGAACTTTGAGAGAGACATTTTTCACTTTGAAGGACCAAAGAGTGGACAGAAAATTTGGTACAAATGTCTACAAGATTTGATCCATAAGGAAAAACCAGTGTCTGGGTCAGGACTTGCATATTTATTTGAGTGGCAGACTAAAACTAAACAATCTGAATATCAGAATTTCCTTGATCAGTTGGCTACTCTTCTGAGCAACAGTGCTGTCCCAATACCAGCCACTGAGGAAGGTGTGACACAGTGTATTCAGGAAATTAGTATAAATGAACGGTCTTGGAAGTTTGTAAGTATTCGTTTGTAAGTATTCTGACATAAAAGCTCCTCTTTTAAATTTTGTCTTTAAGATCAGATTTTTAATATTAGCCAATTTAGTAAACTCTGACTCAGAATTTTGATTCTGAGTTTATTTTTTATTGCTAGAATGAAAGAGAGAAGTTGTCTACTATTACAGCAGAGTAATATAGTGTAGTAGTTAAAAGCTGAAAGCCCAGTATGAATCCTAGCTCTGCCATTAGTCAGTATGTGTTCTTGGACAGGTTCTGATTCTCTTTGTGCCTCAGTTTTATTTATAAAATGGGGAGAGGGGCATAGTTCCTACCTCACAGAGTGGTTATAAGGGTTAAATGGATTAATACAGAATAAGTACTTAGTACAATGCATGGTAAACTCAATGAATATTAGCTTGAAAATAGTAATATGTGAAGAGAGTGTTTGTATGACTAAACACTAATTAGTTCAACCAGTGCAATGAAATAAATTCTATCAAGCCAGTTGTTTGTCTGAAATTACTGATCAAGTCTATCAAATAATTGAATCAGTAGGTTTAGGTGCATACTTCTTTGTTGTATCTAAATAATTTTAGTAAAATTTCATGACTCTTCACCCTAAATTCAGAATGAAAATAGGTACTGATTAGTCTCAGTGTGTTAGTGAATGTGGCAACACAATAGTCTGTTTAGTGTTGCATATTTTTTATACTTTGCTCTCTTAAAATTCATTGTATAACCTCATTTCTCAATAGTAATTAAAATGTCTTATTTTTGTATCTTAAATTTTTTAATCCAATTTTACATGTCAAATCTTCTTGGAAATTTCAGTTAATCTATTTAGTAACTCGATGGCAAAATAACAACAACAACAATGTCAATACAATGTCACAGTGAACAGAACTGGAACACAATTTTGAAATGAAGTAGAAAGTATATACCATCAAGAAATTATATATGTATATATATATACATACATACATATATATATATATTCCCCCCCCCCACTACAGAGAATTGAAAGCCTTAAGCAGGAAATTCAGAAGCTCAATAAACAACTGGAGCAGGTGCATAATTTTTATGAAGAAGCTATTCAAGAATCATCCCAAGCTGAAGAAAAGGGTAGGGAAGGAAAAAAATCCTTGAAGTGTGTGGAAGGAAAAATTGCTGTCAATGGCTCTTTTCAAGGGAGAGAAGACTTGGACAGAAAGAAAGTAAGAATGCTGTGAAGTATATGTGTTTATTTGATAATGAAAATTATCATATTTTATAATGATATTGATAACTTTAGCTTTATCCATGTATAAAACTGTGAATACTATTTATACTTTTCTTAATATGGGAAAAAGGAGGATATTTTGCTGTTAGCCCTTTACCTTATGCTTCTGACTTTACCAAAAGTTTCATGCATAATTTTCCTGATTTCCTTTAGTTTTTTGTCCACACTTTCCTTTAGTTCTTTGGGCAAATTTAATATAACCAAAAAACCAAACTCACTGCCATCAAGTCAATTCTGATATATATGTTTAGCAGGCGAAAAAAAAAAAAAGAGTAGTTGCTGAGCTGCAAATACACAACCTAACACCTGATGGGATTTGGTATTTTGGTCTGGAGTTTAGGCCATGGTTTCAGGGGACATCCCAGTTAACTGGCCCAATATAGTTTTTTGTTTTTTTTTTTTTTTTCCTTTCAGTTATTTGAATTATATGAGATCCGAGGTCATATCCTTTTTATAAAAGTAAATGTTTTATTGTGATCTGGGTGCAATTTTATAAAGCAGATTTGTTTTACACTCAACAGTTAATACACATCTTATTTCATGACACTGATTACATTCCCCACAATGGATCAGCTCTCCTCCCACCTCCACGCTTTGGTTACCCCTTCCCTGTGTTCTTCTTACCTATGCATTACTGCCTGTCTAGTTTTCTCCCTGTGCAAATACTGCCCTTCTGATCTTCCACAGCTGACTGTTCTAAGGAGAGCTTCTCCCTGGAGTAGTTGTTCAGCTCCTAGGCCTGTCTGTTGTTTGGCTGAGAGCTAATCCATGGGAGTGAGTCCAATTCCAGGCCTAAAGGGTAACTTGGGGCCATAGTCTGGGGATGGGTTCACCAGCCTCTATCTGACCAGTAATCCTGGTCTTCTTTATGTTTTTGAATTTTGTTCCACATTTTTCTCCCATTCTATACAGAATGTCCAATTGTGATCACTTTCTGAGTGGTTGGAATTGGTAGCTGGGCACCAATATAGTTTTTTAGCTTTTTTTAAATCCTACCTCCTAGTTTGTTGCATAATGCCTGGGGTCTTAACAGCTGGTAACTGGCCATCCAAGCTACAACAATTTGTCTCTATTTGCCTAGAGCAACATAGAAAGGAGGAGAGAGTCCAGCAAAGGAGGAAATGGAGTGTGTGGCTAATTACCTCTATGAACAACTGTCTCCATTGCCATGCGACTAGAACTGGAGGGTGTCTGGCTATCATTACTAAACGTTTTGATCAAAGATTCTATAGAAGAATCCTGATCAAAATGGAGAAAATGTAGAACAGAATTTAAAATTCTCTTAATACATATTTTTTACACTTTGATTTCTAGGGAATTTACAGTGATCTATCATATGCAATTTATTTAGTTGTTCTTTGTTGACATTTGCATGGTTATATTTTCATGTTATGTTCATGTTGTAATAATAACTTTTATTGTTACCTTATTTTCCCAATTATTTTCATACATGATGTCTTAGTCATACAGTGCTGCTATAACATATACCACAGAAGGTGGCTTTAATAAACAGAAATTTATTTTCTCATAGTTTAGGAGGCTAGAAGTCTGAATTCAGGGTATCAACTCTAGGGGAAGGCTTTCTTTCTCTGTCAGTTCTGGAGGAAGGTCTCTGTCTCTTTGAGTTGCTGCTCCTGGATGATTTTCATGTGACTTGATAGCTCTCTTCCCATATCTCTGCTTCTCTTGATTGCTTGTTTAATCTCTTTTATATCCCCAAAGAGATTGTCTTAAAGTACACCTACACTAATTCTATTTCGTTAACATAACAAAGATATACCAAATGGGATTATAACCACTGGCATGGTGGTTAGAATTTACAACACATAATTTTTCAGGACAAAAAAGTAATCCATAACACATGTTTATAGTAAAACTTTTACTTATGTAAATATTGTTAAACCTGCAATTTGTTAGTCTGGAGTCGATCTGGTCTTATTCGAGTGTCGATCACCATCTTAAAGCACAACTTCTTTATTTCAATACCATTAATTTCTGCAAAGGAGAGCTCCAGGACTAAAAATTCCCAGATGGAAGAACATGACAAGAAGTTCAAACAACTAGAGAAAGAGGAGAACCAAATGTTCTTGAGTATTCAGCAGAATGTGCAGATTGCTGCAACTCAAAGATTGGAGGAGAAAGTTCAAAAACTTCAGAAACAGCTCAGTGATCTTAAATTATCAAATAAAAATATGAAAACTCAACTGACAAGAGTGAATATCCTTAAAGTAAGTAGAAGAAGTGAAGCTTTCAAAAACTGCATGTTTCTCATTGAACTTCAAGATAAATTAGTATTAAAATTATTTTATATACATACAAAAATATAATATTAAAGCATATTATTGTTGTTTCATGCTGTCAAGTCAACTCTGATTCATAGTGACCCTGTATGACAGAGTAGAACTGCACCATAGGGTTTCCTAGGCTGTAATCTCTATGAGAGTGGATTACCAGGTCTTTTCTCTTGTGGAAAGGCTGATGAGTTCCCACCACTGACCTTCTGGTTAACAGCTGAGTGCTTTAACCACCATACCACCTGGGCTCCTTTTACTAAAACATATAGAATAATAAAATTGAATGTCTGTGAATTCACCATCCAACTTAAGAAACAGTATTACCAATCCCATTGAAGTCCCGTGTATTTTCCTCCCTAATCCCCCCAAATAACTGCTATTCTAAATATTCTGAATAGAATTCCCTTGCTTTTGTTGTAATTTTACTTTAGTTAGCCTTTGTTTTTGGGTGAATAGTTAAAATTTTTAGTCTTTTCTTTTCTTTTTCTCACTCCTTTTAGTGGGTGCTCTGGTGGCATAGTACCCAAGGCATTTGACTGCTAACCAGAAGGCTGGCGGTTCAAATCCACCAGCCACTCCTTGGAAGAAAGATTGGGCAATCTTTCTGTAGAGATACGACCTCGGAAACCCAAGGACTTTGAGTCGGATCCAACTTGAGGGCAGTGAATTTGGTTTTGGTATTCTTTTGGACATTCTCCCTATCAAGCTTCAGCTATAGTATTTCAAATGTACTTTCAATGCTTTAAGCCAAAGGTGCACTAATTTGCCAGTTTATCAATAATGTTTTTTTTTACTGTAAGGTCAATTATTTTCTCTCCTTGTGTTTAAGCATAGATTAGCAGACACTACGACTTTTAAGGATATGGAATATGTGTTAAAACTCTTTAAGTCACAACTGTCCAGCTTATAAAAGTGCTTCACGAATGGTGGTTGTTGAATGTGATGGTGGAGAGACGCCTTTGAAATTCAGAAATGTGTGGAATTTTCTTTCCCATGTATCTAGCTCTTTAAACAAACAAATATGAATTATCATGCCTGCTATTTAGAGAAGAAATCTAATTACAGTAATTCTCTCCTTTCCCTCCACCTTATTCCTCACAGAACAAAACAATGGAAAAGCTCAGACAATGTTTAACAGAGGTTGAAAGAATGAAAGAGAAGGCAGTTATGAAAACAGACAACTTGAAAACACCATTAGACTCTGGAGAGCAAGAGGCAAGATCAGACAGAGAGACAGCCCATCAGATGTTAGACACTGTCACTTGTGAGCCCCATGCAGCAGAGAGCACAGTTGACGCATCTGGTGGAGAACAAGAGGTCCTTTTTTCTCATTATTATATTAAAATTCTTTTAGTTGAAATGATAAACACTCAACTCAACTTAGACAAAAGGGAATTTACTGAATTGTGGAATTAAACAACCAAATCTCTCAGAGATGCACCTTGGGGGTCCAGAATCAATTGCACCCAGAACCTGTAAGTCCTTTCTTTCTCTTCTTGACCTCACTCTATGTGTCGTCTTCAGTCCTAATGCCATTCAATTTTCTCTGATAGGAAGCATAGCCACTGACAGATGTGAAGTTTTATATTTAGTTTCAGCGACAGGAGAGAGAATTCCAAAGAAGGACCTTATTGGTCACGTGTAGGTCAGGTGCCTATCCCTGGTCAATCACCAGTAGGCAGGGATGAGGTACATGGTTATCTTACACCAGGGCTGAGTGCATATCCCCCGACTAGTCAGTGACCAGGAGGGAAGGATCATCAAGAAAACAGAAGCTCGGGGGAAATCAAGTGTTTGGGGTTGAATCACTTTCTAGGACAAGGAGGTAGTGCTTCTAAACTTGCTTAGAATTTCACTATATTTACAAAGAAAATATTTTACAAGAATTTTTTAAAGGCTAATTGATAATTTTGGACTATTGTGGAATTATATCACACCTGTATATAGTTGGTTAAGTTGTTTGAAACCTTATCCAAATACCTTAAGAGATGCTTAAAAATTTATAACTTTGCTTTTTTAAACTTCTTTGTGTTCATTTTCTTGGTTGCTTATATTCCCCTCTTTAGTGTCCCTTACTATTTCTCAGTTAAATTTCTTCTCCTTTGAGAACCAGGTAATTCATTTTCCATTTCTGAAATGGTTTTGTCTTGTTCTGCATGAGTTCAGACATCACATCTTCTTTGTCCATTTCAATTCTGAATTATTAAATTTCTTTTTTAAAAAAATTTTGTCGTGATTTGGGTGAGAGTTTACAGAGCAAATTCATTTTCCATACAGCAGCAGTTCATAAACATTTTGTTTCATGACATTGACTGCAATTGCCCACAATGTAACAGCTCTCTTCCCACTTCCTCCCCATAGTTACCTCTTCCCTGTGTTCTTCCCTCCTATGCACTCCTTCCCACTTCTCCCCTGGCTATCTCCCTGTGCAAATACTGCCCTTCTGTTCTCCCACTCACTCCAAGGAGTGTATCTACCTGATGTAAATGTTCACCCCACATGTCTGTCTATTGTTTGGCTGGAAGCCATAGGAGTGAGTTCAATTCCAGACCTGAAGGGCAACTAGGGGCCATAGTCTCAGGGGACTCACCAGGCTCTATCAGACCAGAAAACTTGGTTTTGTTTTTTTTTTTTTTATGATTTTGAGTTTTATTCCACATTGTTCTTCCACTCTATCCAGGATCTCCTGCTTCAGTCCCTCTCTGAGTGGTTGACAGTGGTAGCTGGGCACCACCTAGTTCTTCTGGTCTCATGGTCATATAGGCTGAGGATCTCACGGTCTGCTAGTCCCTTGGACTAATTGTTTGCATGCATCTTTGGTTTTCTTCATCCTTTTTTGCTCTGGACAAGGAGAGACCCATTGTTGCACCTAGATGGTTGCTTGCAAGCATTTAAGACCCCACTCGCTATTCACCAAAGTAGGATGTAGAGCAATGTTTTTGTGCAGTATGTTATGCCGATTGAGCTTGATGTCCCCTGCAACCACAGTCCCGAGCCCACAGGTCCAACTACTCACTCCCTCCAAGTACTTGGCTGTGGCCAAGAAGCCACCAACACCTTGCCTCTTGTCAGCTCTACTGTATACCTGGACATTCTTACAGCACATACAGATATACATATAGAAATATTGTCTGCCAACACTATACATGGCCACAGGCTCACTCCCCCCTGCCTAGACATACCTGATCATTCAGCCTGTCCACCAATCTATCCAGCCATAGATCAATGCTTGCCATCACTGACAGTGCAGTACTGTACATGAAAAAGGGTTCATTTTTGTTGTCTGTACCTCCCACGTACCTCTCTCTGTCTTCCTCTGAATTATTAAATTTTCTGATCAAAAGAAAGGGCATTATGTCTGCAAATCCTTGTTTAATTGATACTTAATTTATGTCAGGGTATTGTGTCAAGGGTGTTTCCCGAGCTTCTTGAGCATTTTTTTTTTTTCTGGGGGGGGGATATTTGTATCATCTGAACAGTTTGGATACTGCCTTTCTATTGTTTTCTTAAAGTAGTCTTGTACAGATGTTGCTTGCCATTTATCTACTAATTTTTAAATCCTTTGAATTTTCCTTGGCTGGCAATTTCAGGTGTTTCTACTTTAGGGTAGTTGGATAGGTAGGTAGTCACTTACTAGGTTTCTTAATTCAATACCACCCTCTTCTGTTGGCATAGTGAAGTGCAGTTTTTAAAGTGTACTAAAACCAGTTGTTAACTTTTGACTCACTGCTGCCCCATGTGTGTCTGAGCAGAAATGTACTCCACAGGGTTCCTGACAGCTGATGTTTTGGAATTAGATTACCTGGCCTTTCTTCTGAGGTACTTCTGGGTAGACTCAGACCTCCAAACAACCTTTCGGTTAGCAGCTCAGTGCATTAACTGTTTGCACCTCCTAGCCTTTTATTTTAGGGATTTACGTGATGGCTAATTAAGTCCCTTCATTTTTACAGGTTTTTTTTTCTTTCTTTCCTTTACTATCAAGGCTCCAAGGAACACTTCTGCCTTCCAAGTATCTCCTTCTCCTCTGAGAAACCTTCCCTCTAAAACTGCCATTTCTAGTCCTAAGTGCGTCCGTGTGTCTTCCTTTTCCTTCCCCAGGTGTCAGTTCAGATCCAACAGGTGTCAGACTTGATCTCAGTATTTCCCTATTATGAGTCTTCCCATTTCTGGGGATAGAGTTGTCTGTGTTTTATGCCAGTAGAAATTAGCGGCTGCTTCCAGTATAGGTTCTAGAGCTGCCTCTGCTAGTTTAGGATTTTTATCTCTCTGTGTAGGAGCTCTGGTGGCGTAGTGACTAAGGCATTTGACTGCTAATCAGAAGGCTGGCAGTTCAAACCCACCAGCTACTCCTCAGAAGGAAGGTTAGGCAATCTACTTCTGTAGTGATCCGCCTCAGAAACCCAAGGAGGGGCGCTATGAGTTGGATCTGACTCAACATCAGTGAGTTTGTTTTTTTTTTTTGGTTTATGCTTAAATGCAAGCTGAAGACTGTTGTCTTCTCTTATTATGCTTTAGACATGATTTATGGTGGTTTTATTCATTCTCCTTGTTGATCACTATGGTTTTGGGAAGATGTTTGGAGAGATATGTATTTGGGGACTGCTCTGGTGGTACAGTGCCTAAGGCATCTGACTGCTAACCAGAAGGCTGGAGGTTCAAACCCACCAGCCACACTCCTCAGAAGGAAGACTGGGCGATCTACTTCCATAGAGATACTGCCTCGGAAACCCACGGAGGGGTCACTATGAGTCGGGTCCGACTCAACAGCAGTGAGTTTGGTCTTGGTTCTATCATACAGCAAATCAGAAGCCCAAAAAGTAATTACTTTAGGGATTAATAATAACAAAGAAGTTTATAAAAGTGTATAAATAAGAAAAAAAACTGTAAGGAAAGTTTTAAATAAAGACAAAATTTTCTGATAATAGACCATTTTTCTAGGACCTTAATTTTAAAATATTGTTAGTAGAATATACATTTCATAAAGAAATGTTTAATAAGAGTACATTTCTAGTACCAATTACATTGTACATAACAAGTGGTGAGCAAAAGTAATGATGTATCTTGGTTCTTGTAGCTTGCTAACTTTAGAGAAACCATTAAGAAGATGTTGGGATTTAACATGAAAACAGCAGACAAAACAGTCATCAATCAGCTAAGGCTTATTATACAAGCTTATGAAACATCCAACAAAAAATCTAAGATTGCTTTGGATGGTGAGACTGGACAGCAGAATGAATAAAGTTCTGCCTTTTCATTGCTGCCGACAAGAACTCTACAGAGATGGATGTTTCTGTCAGCCTCTTGAATATGGCTACACTATGAATAAAATGCATTGGAAAATTTTCACTTGTATTTGTTCTGTATGTTTGGTGTTTAATTTATGTCATAATTTTGTTCTATTCATTTATGATCTACTCTAGATTGTTACTTACAATATATAATAATTATCTAACTATATTTATTAATTGTATTTTAAGTAGGATATTGTCTCAAAGAATTGTCAGGTATAGATAGCAAGAATCATGAGGCTGGCACAAGACTGGGCAGTGTTTTGTTCTGCTGTGCATAGGGTTACTATGAGTTGGAGATAACGCAACAGCACCTAACAACAACAACATTGTCATAGATTGACTTGTGTCCCCCCAAAATACGTGTCAACTTGGCAAGCCATGATTCCCTGTATTGTGTGGTTGTCCTCCATTTTGTGATCTGATGTAATTATCCTCCATTTTGAGATAATGTGTTACAAATCCTAAGCTCTGTATGTTAATGACGCAGGATTAGGCAGGTTATAACTTGAGTCAGAGCCTTGCAAGAGAGTGCGACTCAATTCCTACCATTACTCAAGTCACTACCCTTACTCAAATCACACCTTTGCTCCAGTCACACCTTTTACCTTACAAGAGATAGAAGGAAAAAGAAGTGAACAGAGAAGAGCAATCTGACTACCAACAAGAAAGAAGAGCCTGGAGCAGAGTATGTCCTTTGGATCCAGGGTCCCTGCAGTGAGAAACTCCTAGACCCAGGGGCAGATTGATGCCAAGATACATGGAGATCTCCAAGGAACATTGGGCCGACAGAAAGGAGACAAGGACCTTCCCCTAGAGCCAAGAGAGAAAGCCTTCCCCAGAGCTAGTGCCCTGAATTCAGTCTTCCAGCCTTATAAACATCGAGAGAAGAAATTTCTGTTTGTTAAAGCCATCCACTTGTGGAATTTCTATTAGAGCAACACTAAAAAACTAAAATCCACCACTCATCTGTCAGTTTGTTGTCTTGTGGTGGCTTGCATGTTTCTGTGAGACTGGAGGCTATGCCCCAATATTTCAAACACCAGCAGGATCACTCGTGGTGGACAGGTTTCAGTGGAGCTTCCAGACTAAGACAGACTCAGAAGAAGGAAGGGGCCATCCATGTCTCAAAGAATTGGCTGGTGGAAACCTTATGAATAGCACTGAAATACTGTCTGATACATTACTAGAAATCTTTATGAAAAGACTTGAAACATTGTCTGATATAGTGCTGGAAGATGAGCCCCTGAAGTCAGAAGGAACTCAAAATAAGACTGGAGAAGGGCTGTATCCTCAAAGGAGAGCTGACCTTAATGATGTGGATGGACTAAAGCTTTTGGGACCTCCATTTGCTGATGTGGCAGGACTCAAAATGGAAAGAAACCACTGCAAACATCCATTAATAGAACACAGAATATATTTAGTATGAATCTAGGAAAATTAGAAGTTGTAAAAAATGAAACGGAACACATAAAGATCAATATCCTAGGCATTTTTGTTGTTACGTGTCGTCAAGTTGGACCCAACTCAAAGCGACCCCTCTTTGGGTTTCCAAGGTAGTATCACTACGGAAGTAGATTGCCCCATCTTCTTTCCGAGAAGTGGCTGGTGGGATTGAACCACCAGCCTTCAGGTTAGCAGTCAAGTGCCTTAGGCACTATGCTACC